GTTTTCAATGCATTTCAATGGGCTTTTTCATTTTGCTTGACGAGGATTTAGCTTAACAGCGATTTGAACGGAACGAATTATCCTCGTCAAGCGAGGCACCACTGTAATCTAAGGCGAAGTCTGACTGCGACCCCAGCTTAGCAGGACTTGTACCCATTCAGTGAGAGAGAGAGACAGTCATTTCTAGGAGGGACCAGCACACACCTGACTAGGACGTCATTCCCCGTCAATTCACCAATCAGCTCCGATATTAGTCCGCTGTTCACGCAGTGGTTCAGAGAATCCGCAGACGCGGAGGCAATCCCGATGGCTAGCTAACACAAAAGCACAGAAAGCGGGGGGAAAGAATCAGAAATGGTCCCTCATGGAGCATCCGGCAAGCGTAACAACAGGATTTAGAAAGCGATGGACACATCAAAAGACGACAACCCAGGCTTTCGATCTGGACATGAGACCCTGCAGCGCTTCAGAGACTATAGCACGACCAATCCCCCATTGGGTTGAACCACCCCCCCAGGCAACATGGTGAATGGCCCCACAGATTGGGGATCAGGTCTATACGCCAACACACGGAATCGAGGGAGGCAGGTTTATAACGTTAGAACTGCAGCGCTGGGAGGGACCTTTATGGATCATCGAATCCTACCAGACCTGGATTAGCCATTAAACAAATTAAACATGGGGTTAAGGTACTGTATTAACAAAGGAAGGGATCACTAAAGAGTGACAGATTTACCAGGGCTCATGGTACAAACAGTGCACCCTCTTTAATAAATCACCTCCCTCCCTCCCAGCTCTCTCGTTCCCCCCCACAAGTGCCTCAAGAAAACTACCTACCTAAAGTAACAGAGTATGAAGCAGTAAAAGCTTAAAAGTATGACGCGCCGGGTGAGGAAATTCATGTTCTGAGTGAAATGGCGATTGCTTGGGCGGGTTTTTTTATTTTTACTTAGGGCTTCCAAAGGTCTTAATCCTGCCCTAAGCTGAACGCCCAGCATTTAATTCAAGAAAGGACACAATTTATCCCTCCCTCTATTTCTCATCCTGCTAATCAAGGCCCTGTATACATACATACTTCCGCTAAGAAATGGCACTACCTGGTGATTCAGTGTTTCTTCCTAAAAGGCTAAAAACACCCACACTAACACTGAACCACCTTAATCCTCCAGCCCAGCAGGAAGCAGACAGCCCCCTTCCCCACCACAAGGATAAAGACCCTTGCCTCATACACGCGATAACGGATGATGTCACTCTTGCTCATAACTTTTTTCAAGTCGATCAGTAAGTTTCCCGCAAGCAAAGCCTCCAAGCCTTCAGGGGTTCGGGCTACCCCGGATAGTGACTTGATGGCCTAGAAAAAAGAGAGAGAGAAAAGCAAAAATTATATAAGTGAGAAATCCAATCACAGTTTTGAAAAATCCTATTATTCAAAGTAAGATTTCCAAGCCTCAAAAGGTGAAGGTCTGGAACACAGAAGCGTATCACCGCCTCTAAAGTTCAAACTGCCCAGAGTGGCTTTCATGCCAGACAGGCGGTAGAGAAGTCGAACAGATCAATAAATAAGTAAACAAATCTACACTTTTCTCACTGGGAGTTATTCTCTCATCCTTTGAATGACCACACTCTAGATTTCTGCTATAAAGTCATTCATTCTTCAAGAAACCTAGGGAGGTAACAGCCTCGGGAGAGAAAAACGAATACATCTGTCATCAACAAGGCCAAGACTGGAAGGGCCGCTACCAGACAAGGCTTTGAGGGAATCTCTCAATGAACTGACTCAGTGTATATATACTTGGGTTCATCCCGTGTGGCTCCAAATGGACACGTCGTCGTTCTTGGTGTGACGTTCGTAGTGCGTGACTATCTCCAGCCAGTGTAAGGGAAGCCACTGGTCCCAACGCTTCTGACAACGGTAGGGCCTCAAGAGGAAAATGCTGCTGCTGAGAAGCTGGCGCCTCCCATCTTGGGTGACGCTCCTTATTTTAGGAATTAATACTGATGAAAGCTGAGTGTAGAGAGAACTGGGTCTAGCTGCCTTTAAAAACCAAGTGAAGATGCTCAAGCAAATAACTGCCCCTCCAAGAAGGAAGGACAGGTCGTGGCCTTCCAGAGCTGGTGTGACTACACTGCCCATCATCCCTCATCACAGACTCTGCTGCCTGGGGCTAATGGGAATGATCATTCAACACCATCTGGAGGACTGCAAGATATCCACCTTTGCTTTTAAAACTGAGAAATCTTCCAAGTGATGAGGAACAAGAACTACCGTTTGACTTAGCTTTCAATCTCCAACAGGTGTAAAAGAACAGTGGAAGCTGGTGCCCTGGACCCAGCATTGCTCCCTTCAGGATGAGGCCACAAAGAGCCAGCCCACCTTCTGCCTCTCTCCTTTCAAGTCATGGTGGTGGGTGACATGCAATCCACACTCCCTTCCTGACAAACTTCCAACCATGGGCAGAAAGAGAAGCAGCCATATATTTGATCCTGGTGGAGGAGTAAGGAGGCCATAAGCCACCTCAGCCAATGGGGAGGGATGTTGTGCACAACATAAGGGGCTCTGCCCCTCCAGTCAGAAGCTGCCAAGGGAAGCAGCACTGCCCAAGCATAGGTTACAACAAAAAGCAATGTCTCAAACACAGTCCTGTGACAGATACGATTTCAAATGACTCTTACCTCCTTTGCTACTCCAATCTTCTCTGCCGCGATGCAGTAAATGATCTGCCTCAGCAACTCGGGGGTGTTAAGGATCTCCTGAATAGCATCGGGGTCTTCAACAATCCTTCCAATCTAGAAATTCAAAGCCATAGTGTACGACTTATGTAGCTAGGTGCCAAAAGCTACATTTCCCCAAATGCATCCCCTTATAATGCAGAAAAGGATCATTTCCTTCAGTTTATTAAGAGTTCCTCCAATTTGACCTATACATACACAGCTGAGAGAGAGACAGACTGTTCTCTAATAAATGCCAGAACTGTTTCAGCTAATTCAGCTACCGAAGGGCTAGCTGAAGAAATTCTGTCAGTGTCTGCAATAAAGAGCACAGATTTCTATCAAAACAAGTTCGTTCACCATCATTTTAATGACCTATCAGTGACTCTCACTCCAGAAGAATCATTTCACTAACTCCTGGCATAAATACTTAATTCAGAGGGCGTGTTTTTCTTGAGATAATGCCAACTATAACATGCACACAGATCTACAAAGAACTAAGACCACCAAGTCTTCAAAACTATTGCTCTGAAGTAAATAAGGATGGTCAGGATGTACAAAGTTATGCACAGCCAGGAGGGAAAAGAAGGCTTTCATTTCGAATTATTTAACCTGCCAAAATGCGAGTGTGGCAAAAGGAATGCATTTATACAAGACATAAGAATTCACGAGGTAACACGGTGGACTTTAAACGATAGCCAAGCACGAGAGAGAGAGGGACTGTTCTCAAAATATGTATTATATGATTATATGACCTGCTTTGCTATTTGTAGTCAAAATGGTGTAACAATGTTTAAAAATAAAATAGCTGAATAGGGGACCCATCAGATGTATTTGTCATATTTTGGTGAACATTTCATTTTAATTTTTATTCTGTTGCGGGCTTATTTATTTGTTTAAATGCCTTCTGCATGGATTACTTCTCCCTCTCTCACACACAGTCTTCCAAGTATGCCAAAGTTAACAAAAACGCCAGCCTACCTACCTGGGATATTGTCAGAATCTTGACCAAATCATCGGGATGGAAGAGGCCTTTCTGTAGTTCTTCCCCATAGTTTCGGATGACGTACAAGGGGTCCATGACTTGGAGGAGCCGCTCCAGGATGGCGACGCACAAAGAGATCTGCTCGCTGCGTCGCAAACATTGGGGGGGGGGGACAGCGGGGCAGAAATAAGACGACAACGGGTGAATCAAGAAACAGTTCGTCAATTCACCACTGATAACAAAGAACTGTGGACTTCATTAAGAACATTTTAAAAACAGATTCTGGGAAAAGCCACC